AGTGTTTCATAGTGCTATCCGTTAACTCCCTGAACAGTGGTAGCGCTACATAGTACTGGTAGTGAGCTCCAAAGACATAGAGAATAGACTGCGCGATCCGTATCTAAGGCCGGTATTCATAGTCAGATCTTATATTCAAGACCGTCTTAAGTACGGTCTCAAGAAGTCTCGAACCAATCAGAAGGCTGCATTAGTGTCTTAAGACATTACTTAAGACAGTTTGAAATAAGACTCGACTATGAATACCGGCCTAAGTAATGTATCAAATGTGGTCGACAATAATGAGAGAGAGGGACCGTGGGAGACGGCCAATCTCCCTCTCATTCTCTCTCCCATTACACCATTGAATGGAAAGAGATAGAAATGGCCATCTGCCACGGTCCCTCTCTCTCATCCCTATCGACCATTTTGACACACGGATCGCGCAGTCTATTCTCTATGTCTTTGGTGAGTTCTCTGAACGCACCCTAAAGGGTCCTCTACATAGAAGTCAGACAGTCGTGGAGTCTTAAGTCGTAGGAAACTGACCAATTCTAATCGAGTATTCTTCTTATATTTGATTGTGATTGGTTGGTTTCCTATGACTTAAGACTCCACGACCATCTACAACTTCTATGTAGAGGACCCTTAAGTGTATGTTCGGAAAGCTCGCTACTAGCCCTATCGAACGCTAACGCTGTTCGGAGAGCTCCCTACCAAAGACCTAAGAGAATGGACTGCGCGATCCGTGTGTCAAAATGGTCGATAGAGATGAGAGAGAGGGACCGTGGCAGACGGCCATTTCTATCTCTTTCCATTCAATGGTGTAATGGGAGAGAGAATGAGAGGGAGATTGGCCGTCTCTCACGGTCCCTCTTTCTTATTATTGTCGATCACATTTGATACACTACTTAGATATGAATCGCGCAGTCCATTCTCTATGTCTTTGCTCTCTACCAACGCCATCCGTGACGTCATTGTCGATAGCGTTTGCCGCCATAACTTACGCTACCAACGCTCTTGCCTCCGAGGTAGTGCATGGGTAGCGTTCATGGAACTCACTATATTATCGCGCTATTAGATATACGAACATAGAGTCCCTATAATGAGAGTCAAGACATAAGACCGGAAGGATGCCATTGCTGGGCGCCGGCCGGAAACAGCATAAATAACACGTGGCACAAATAGACGCGTTCACGCCTATTTGTTTGTAAAGCAATGAATTTGTTTTTAAAACAGTGAATTTGTGTTTGCGAAATAGAGAATTTGTGTAATAAATACAGAATGTATACATAGCGCTGTACCGAGTGGAGATGACAGATATCTTAACCTCTAAAGTCTTATAGCGTATTCGATTACTGACTCGATCCGACTCTGAGTCAACAGTCTGTTCTTTTTAGCTGCATTTCTTACACAATTTAGCTCTTCTTTTGTAGCTAAACAGAACAGACTACTGACTCGGAGTCGGGTCGAATCAGTAAATCGAATACGCTATTAGTAGCGTTTGCGTTGGTAGTGTTGATAGCGTCTCCCCGAACGTACCCTAATGCTGCGTTCGAGGAGCGCGCTATCAACGCTATTTGTGTCATACTATCCTTATTTCACATTTAATGGACGATGAAGATAGAATGACACAAATAGCGCTAATAGCGTCTCCCCGAACCCAGCCTAAGTGTAATGAATACTATTGCGATCATTAATTTCGAAGTATCGGCCAACAATTACTATGTTTACACGGTACGCTTTACGCCGAAGTTATAACATCGATGTTATGAAACTGGCCAATCACAGTCATTCCATTCTTCAGAGGAACAGCTATGATTGGCCAGTTTCATAATATCGATGTTATAACTTCGGCGTAAAGCGTGCCGTGTAAACGTAGTAAATGTTCACTTCAGTATTCACTACACTATCGCTGTTCATGGAGCACACGAACGCTACGCAACGCTACGCTATCAACACACTACAGCCCACATACAAGAACGTAAGGCCGTAACACGCAAGCAGTAAATGAATTGACCAATCACAGTAGAGACCATAAGGCCAGTAGCGAATCCAATGTTAGGGCTGCCGCACACACCTTCCGTAACAATAACCATAAGACGTACCATAAGAATTAGCCAATCACAGTTGAGAATTCTTTTGAACTCTTAATTTTGATTGGCTGATATGGTACGGCTTATGGTTACTGTTACGGAAGGTGTGTGCGGCAACCCTTACGATTTTCTTACTGATTACGTCTTACGGACTTATGTTTTTCTATGTGCTCCCGGCTTACCTCTTTAAGGATAGCATTTATAGCGCAAGTCATGACGTCAAACGCTACCAACAATAACGTCACGATAGTGTTTCAAGCTGCATTCAGCAGACTCAGCAGTTTTGCAACCGTTTTATGATTCGTCGCGCTGATTGGATTATACTTTTAGATTTAAAGGAATAGTTCTATCTTAGCGAAGAATCACAAAACGGTTGCAAAACTGTTGCAGAACGCAGCTATAGTGCTATCAGTTAACTCCCTGAACAATGGTAGCCCTACATAGCACTGGTAGTGAGCTCCCTGAACGCACCCGTAACTGATGCGTTCCTTATGCGCTAATGGTGGGGGGAATCTGGGACATTCCATGCACTATCAATGCGCATTAAGGCCGTAGCAGACTTTTGCATAACACATAACGCATAGTGCATAGGCGAATCAACTAATCAGAATTTTTCCTTTCCTCCCATTCCATGGAAAAGAAGAATTTCGATTGGTTGATTCCCTTATGCATTATGCGGGGTTTACAATAGAAGTCGTAGCAGTCGTAGGGTCTTAAATCATAGAAAATTGACCAATCATAGTCGATTATTCTTCTCATATTCTACTGTGATTGGTTAATTTTCTACGACTTAAGACTCTACGACTTTTATTGTAGACCCCGCTTTATGTGTTATGCAAGAGTGTGTGCTGCGGCTATTAGGGCCATTCCACACAAACTTGCATAGCCGCATAAACATATGCATAAAGAAAATCATCCAATCGTATTTTACGTTTGTCTTTATGACAGAAATGTGATTGGATAATTTTCTTTATGCATATGGTTATGCGACTATGCAAGTTGTGTGGAATGGCCCTTAGATGTAACGGAACGGTTGTCTATGCAGTCTATGCGCATCATGCGTGAAACGGAACGCACCTAATATTATATGAAAGATGAATGATAGCTGAATGATTCAGAATCATTTTTATTGCGAGCGGCCCTAAGGATATAATCAAGGCTGGGTAAAATGCCTTTCAAATTCCATTTAAAATACTAATTATAAACATATATGTAATGAAGAATGGCTCAATATAAATAACAACAATAAAAATAAGAACAGCTACAAGCCAAGAAACATCATAAAGTAAGTAAAAGCTTAAAATATAAACACATGTAGTAGCTAGCAAAATAAATATATTTCAAAATTAATACTAACAATAATGCCTAACAAAAATACCTAACGATCGTTTCAACCGTATTTCGGTACTAATTATAAAATACTTTTAAAAAGTGTATTTAAAATGCAAAATGCAAAATGGATTTTTCGAATCTATTTTAAATGTAAAATGGATAAATAGGTATTTTAAATAGTTTTCGAATGCAAAATGATTTTTCCTGCCCTAGTGTAAAAAAAATTTTTACGAAAAAATACAGAAAAAACTATATAAATTGAGACAAAATCTTAGAAATCCTTAATTTTTCATAGATATTCGTAGTAGGACATACAGTGAGGTTTGTTTGTCTCAGAAATCCATAGTTTTTTGTAGATATTCATAGTGAGACGTAGAGTGACGTTGTTTGAAGGCGGAGGATTTCTTGGTTTTTCAAACAAACAACACTACTCTACGTCCCACTACAAATATCTACGAAAAATTAAGAATTTCTAAGATCTTGTTTCAATCTATATAGTTTTTCGTAAAAACTTTCTGTTAGGGTGGTATACAATTTTTTAAAAGTATTTTACGTTTGACATCCATTTTCAATGGAATTTGAAGTCCTGACTACAGTATTATAAATAAAGTATTTCTGACGAGAATATTAAAAATTTTTTAATATTATGATTTGGAATCGAGATCGTTTACTTGAATAAATCAAATTAATATGAGAAGCGCCGGTTACGGTCAAGATTAGATGATATACATAATATACATATATGTATATTATATGTAATACATATAATATACATTTTTAGAAATCTATATAGTATTTTACATAAAGCTAGAACAGTTATTTTTTTATTAAGATTCGATATTTATAGACTATCGGAAATTAATTTGCTCTTTATAGTTTAATTTGCAGTTTATTTAAATATTCATAAAAATCTTTTGCCAATCATGGGACTTGGTTCTTTTTATACGTTAACGACTCTCTAGAGAAAATTTATAAAAACATAAGAAATCCATTTACCTATTTTATAAATGGTTAAATGATAGAGAGAGAGAGAGAGAGAGAGAGAGAGACATGATTTCATTTTACATGTAAAATGAAAATAATTTTTCAAAAACCATTTAAAATAAAAAAAAAATGCGATTTTTATTTTAAATACATATTTGAAATGAAATTATTTTAAATATTACCCAGCCTTGGATATAATATACATATTTCTTAACAAAATGAAAAAAATTATGAAAGATCGCTGATTTTTCTATATTATATTTGAAAGTAACAGAAAAAAGTTTGTAGACATTTACCATAGAATCTATCGAGGAATCTCTATAGATCAAACATTATTTCAATAAGAAATAATGTTTTTAAAAAATAATTAAGATAAAGGAAAACATTTTTTATTTAAATTATAAAATTGTATAGTTAAACATAAATATTGATCTTATCGAACTGTTTCATACGTAGACGATATTCATTTATATATATATATATATACGGAAAGTATAAATTTCCAATTCCTGCAGTCACTTTTTATAGAGATGATACATTTTTAAATACCGCGTTATACATTCAATCCTCTTTAACAATTTTATCGAATTCGTCTGGCGATTGTCGCAGTGGTAAACGTGAAAGAGGAGCCTGGGACCAACACCGTGTCGACCAGCGGCGTCGGCGTCGGCGTTGGCGTTGGCGGTGTCGGCGTCGGCGTCCCGTCCGGCATGATGGCCTCCGCGGCATCGTCAGGCGTCTCAACGACGGGATTTCCGCCGATGGAGTTCCAGACGCGTTCCAAGTGCTTTATGTGAACACGAGAGGAACCACCGTTAAACAGCAGCGCGTGTTACGTGACGAACCGACGTCGCGAGGAACGAGGGACGATCCTACGTGATCTATCGCGCGGCGCATTAGATCGCAACGAGATGGATTCGCGATTCGACGAACGGTGAGCGATGCATGAAACGATGCCCTGAACATATCTCTCGATGACGCGGTAATGCGGATTATATTTAACAAATATTATCGAATAATATCTGATAATCGTTTAGCGATGTTATTGGATGGTCGTTCGCGAATCTAACCGCGCGGGGAAATACAACGTAAACGTTTGTGAAACTCGTGTAATTGCTATTGTTGTGTTAATTCGATGTTAAAGGTACGTACGTCGTGCGTCTTTACTGTGTAGGTGCGCTTGTTCACGTTCGTTAAATACGTAAAGCGCCACGCAATACGGAGACAATCGCATGTATTATGCGAGATATTACGACACGATGCGATACGGCGATTCTTTAGCGATTCCGGAATCTTTTTCGCAGGAGTGAAGGCCGGGATCGCGCCTGTTGTAGTCCTGATCGGTCGAAGACCGCCGTGTTAGATGAAAACAGGAACGATCGCGAAGAACGATCTCTCGATTTTATCCCCATTTTATCGACGATATAAAACGTTTGAAAATACCTCTATATCTTCGCGCACATCGTTTTCGACTGCTAGACAGTATTTAATATCCTGGCGAGAGGAGCGAGAGGCGAAGAAAGTTTGTTCACAACGGGAATGAGATATCGTTTTGATTGCGATAGAACAGAAAACGCGTTCGTTTGGATCGACTGTAATTAGTATTCGCTCCGAAATTTCCTCATTCGTGAATCCAATATACACCCAGAAAAAGGTTTCTTCGATTTAAAGAAATATTTCTTTGCTATACGGTTAAAGAAAAAATTTTTTACGTCATTTTTTTGATTTAAACATTATTTTTTGAAATTAAATAGAAAAATTTATTTGATTACCGGATACCGAATATCGGATATCCGGACAGAATGTAACATTGGATATCCGGTATCTGATCGGATATCCGAAAAGGCAATTTCTTTGAGTCGGATATCCGACATCTTCGGGCTTTTTCGGATATCCGACCGGATTCGAGAAAGTGTCTTCTAAAAAAAAAAAAAAAAGAACTTATAGAGAAAAAGATTGTAACAATGTACTATAAGATATTATAACATCATGAATATGCATACTTATTTCTAGAACATTTGTTCAATACAAGAAAAAACAATTTAATAATATCAAATTTCAACCGGATATATTCCCGGATACTAATAATATCCAGCTATCCGGTCGAATATCCGTGTAGTAAAAAAGTGCTGGATAATACCGGATATCGGATACTTTCCAAATATTCGGTGCATTCCTAGAAATTATGTTTAAATCAAAGAAATTTTTTCTTTAACTGTATAGCAAAGAAATATTTTTTTGAATCGACCCTTTATCTGGGTATACTTTAACTCTTTGAGGGACATCAAAAAAACATAGAATTGCAAGACATTTCACAGGAATCCGTCAGATAGAAAAAATGTGCCCCTCAAAGTGTTAAAATGTATCTTTGCAATTGAAAGATTGAATACGTAATTTGACGGATTGAATTCGTAATATATGTATAAATTCACACAAAATTATTTCAGCACTAAAGATCCAGCTTGACCTTTATTTTCGATTCATTGTATAATCATTATGATTTTATATTTTGGATATTTTGCAATGTATAGATATATTATTTAAAGTTAACTAATTGAACATTCTTTTTCATTTTAAAAATTCAAAAAAAGGAATAAGATTATATAACTTAAAATTTATGTCAAGTTATAAAAAACAATTTTTTAACGTAATTATCTTTTCTATTGCGATATGAAACGGTAGCTCTTAGTAAATATGGATCTATTGTAAGAAGAGAGATACAGAAGAAAGAAAAGCCATCTTGTTGTAGAGAGTTTTTTTATATATACAGATATATAGAATTGAATAAATAGAGCTATATAATGTATATGTTTAATCGTACAAAATATGTACGTTTTATGTGAATTATACTAATTAAAGCGAAATTGTTTCTGCGAAGATTACGATGTAAATATACGATTAGCGTAGACATAGCAACGATTTTAAGAAACTTATACTGTGAATTAGTCTTATGTATAAATCACTAAAATTGGCTTTTAATAAATGTAACGCTTCATTTTAAAGTTATTACACACCAAGATCGTGTATGAGCACTCTGTGGCAGCTACGTACAGTAGTTTGGCGAAAATCCACGTGTAAAAAAGTGTAACAGTGGCTATATAAGAAATGAAATAAATCTTAATTATTTATCATTGAAAAATACAATTCTCTTCCAGGAAATTGCTCGAAAGAATTACTTTTGTTATTAAACTGTTTATGTTTCATTGAATATTAAATATCTTAATTTATAGGAATTTATTTAAGGTATATGATTGTTGTATAAAATTGTTAAGAGCTCTAATTTCAACATCATAAAGATTATTTATAAGAAACTGCATTACATGTGTAATATTTAGTATGGCATTTATCTAATGCGTCGCGTTATTATATGTAAATATTATACTAAATGTAATATATCAATTAAATATCATATTAACTCACATAACGCGATGCGTTATTAGGTAAATGTCACACTAAATATTATGCGTTTAACCCTCCGGAGCTGATGATCTAATAGATCCGTTCAATTATAAATCTTTACAAAAATGTCAAATGATTCAACTTTCTTATGTTACATTTGCAAATTTCGATTATTTTTATTAAAATATAGTTAATATCCTTTTTTATATACGAGTTTTATCACTTTGGTTCCTGGGAATTAGTACCTTTTAATTAACATAAATTAAGTGGGTTTACAGGTTATTAATAACTGCGTTATAAATTTTGGCATTGTGATATCAGAGGGTTAAAATTTCGTATTTTAAATATTCTAAATATTTTTAATCTCGCCAGTAGTATGAAATTTTCACTCTGCAACCTGGATCTTCAAACTTTAGTGTAAATATTTATATTATTTCGGACAGTATAAAAATTAAAAAAAAATCTTACTTGTTTGTGAAAGCTTTAACAACGAATTTTTACTATTATAGAAGTTAATTGTATTTTACTTGTTTTTTACAAATTTAAATTTATCTATTAGAATTCACAATATATATATATATATATATATATAAAATCGACTGTGTTTTAAAAATTCTACATTGCCAGTGGAGGGTTAACTTCGTTAAGAAGAACATTTTTTTTATGTATCGCGTAAGACGTTACCAAAAATATCTGATCCAAGGAAAAACGTTCAAAAAACGGTTGTTCGAGAATAGTTTCTATGCAGTTTCGTGCTACTGGATCCTAGTGCAAGTCCGCCGCACAGGATGTCAAGGAGAATAGCGTATGGGAGGAGGGCGAGCGAACTGGACCAATGGCCGGCGAATGTTTTGCGAGCACGATGTTTTTCAAAACAAACCGTGCACTATGGGCTTTAATATTCCTCGTAAAATCTGGAACACTACGAGCGCTGCCGCGTCAACACTGTGCGTGCATCGGACGCGGGAATAGCACGTGCATCTTGTTTTCCGATCTAGGAACCGAAAGAGCACGTCGATGACGTCGTTACGGCATTTCTCCTGGAGACTGCAAATAAATTTCACCGGATATACATTTGCAAGAAGTGAGTCTTCGACGCACGTCAAAAGAGGAATGACGATATATATTAATTTCTTTTGTACGAAGATAAAATTAACGGAGATAAAATGAAAATTGCGAGAAGCTGATACAAATATTTTGTTGAAAGCATTTTGTTATACGTAATTATATTCGCGTGTTATACGTAATTATACTCTTTAAAACTTTAGAGTGAAATCTCACTCTTATTCATAGTCGGATTTTATATTTAGAATCGTCTTAAGTACAGTCTTAAGATGTCATGAACCAATCAAAAAGTACATATCTAGCGTTTTAATACATTATTTAGCATCTTAAGATAAAAACCGGCTATGAACACCATCCTTAAAGATTTAAATTTGAATCATTCTTTTTCAAGATTGACTCAATTTTCATTCTTTACTTTTTTAGAGTGAGCTTCCACTCCAAAGAATTTAAAGAGTATATAATATATTAATTTTTTTCGGGAATTAATTAAGTATTAAAAGTAAAACTCGTTTATCAGGAAAAGTATAAAATATATACTTTCGTTTACATTCTTACACGTATTATTTTACGTTTGGTAACTTAACTTTTTGCTTTTGTATGTCATGGTCTTGCTCGTAATACATATAAAGAAAAAAGAAAGATAATAAAGTTAAAATTTTTCCAGAAATGCAACGAGATTTTTATTTACCTAATTATATCTTGCCAATCATATTAAGAATTCCTGGAATCTCTGAGATTTTTTCAATATCAGTTATAATTTTGCCGATTGTGTTCTTTTAATAACTTCTAATAAGTTTGTTTTCAAGTTCGTGCCTCTTGGCACGATTTAGCGAGGACTCGAAATTCGAGAGGCATCATTTCATCCTTCTTCGAACTCTCGTATATATCCTTGCGAATTCTCTTCGTCTCTCAGAAACGTATGCTTTACATAACGCAGATTGACACGCTCAACGTAAACATCAGATCCATTTTATCCAAACAGACATGATAGTGGACTCAGTTAGCCACGCAATATGTACTACAAAGCGCTACTAAAGCGTATAATAAAATATCATGTTAAGTAACTATTACACGAGTCAACTATGTTATAGACGCGTTTTAATATTCCGGTATCTCAACAGGTTGACTCAACTTTATTAATAATTATTAGTAATTGGTAATTTAATTAGTAATGATCTTGCAAAGTGGTGTCAAAGATTTGACGACGTACTCTTAGCGGATTATTTTTATTAAACTGTTAGTTTATTTATCGTTATATTGTTATTATATCGTGAGTTTACTTACTTTATATTGTTAATTATTTTATGTTGTGTGTGTTATTAAGCTTATTATTTTATAGTAAATTATTAAGTTCTGTAATGGAAGTGCGATTCACTGTCTGAAAGGATCTTGGAACAAATCTGAGATAATTTGTTGCCCGGATCCGGATTGCAACGTACAGGAGAGAACGTGCGTTGAATGACGCATAACAGCTGTACGCAACTTTGAGTCGTGCTCGTAAAACGAATATGTATGAATAACGAGTGGTCTCCGGAAAAAAGCGATCTCGCTTATCGAGTTGTACATACATGAATGAGTATTTAAGTAATTTTTTCTTGAAAGTTGCTCGAGGTAATCTTAATCGACTATTTGACAGAGCAAATGATTCATTTAATGAAATATCATTCCATATCTTTACAAAGTAATTTATGTTTGTTACACTATTTTATTATGTTTTATTCTGTTTCGAGCTTATTTAAAACGGTCTATTATTCATCAGAATTTAGAATGAAATTCTATTTATGCTTTTCGTGTCCCGTAATCGAAAAATATTCGAAGAATTAGAATGTAAACATACATAGAATATCCATTAGAACGCACACGTTAATTAAAATAATAACGCTCATTTATTACAACGACGATCAAATTATTATTTGTTTATAAAATTATCACAATAATTAAAAAAGTCTCATATTTTGGAATTGCTTATAAAAAAAAAGTTAAATATAAAGAAAAATAGAAAAGACATGCTTTTATTCCTCCATAATCAATTATTACACCTGCAAAATTACATTTCAAAATTAATATCACAATTTTAATGATTTGAAATATTCAAATTTATTTTTTGGAAAATTTCGTTTTTTGAGTTGTGTCGTTGTAGCAAATAATATCAAATTATAAGATTTCCATCCTGCAATTTG